CCATATGGATCTCCTTGCCAGATTGCCAGATTGGGCCCGCCAGCCTGGCGCTCGGCGGAGTACCCGCAAGTGCTGGCCCAATGGGGACCCCCGACCGCCGAACGCGAAGCGGAAGCAGCGCCTCGCGTGCCTGGGTTTGACCACCCCGCGTTTCCTTGTTAAGCCGCGCATCAGGGGCCACTCTTGCCTAGGGTCACTCCTGCGTGCAGCCAGGGGGGTGCGGGCTGCTGTCGCACGAACGACGTGGCTAGGTAGGGGAACGAACAATGACATCAACATAATAACTCGGAGGTCCGCGCGGATTTCTCGGATCCGCGCAGGGCCCCCCCTGGCGCCGCCTCCGGCGCCGCCCCTTGCACGCTCCGCGCGCCAGGGAGGGGGGTCCAGCGCGGATCCAAGAAATCCGCGCGGACATTCGAGCTGGTATGTGTTATGGCATTTTTCGTTCCCCCAGCACGGAACGAGTGGGCACGAAGACCGGTGGCAGTTCCTGCCCATGTCTCACAGGACTCGTTGCCGGCGTCGCCGTGGGCACTGTCCACTCGAGGCAGAGGGGCACCTGGCCAACAGCGGCCGCTGTCGGCTCTGGCGTCGTGCCAATGTTGTCCGTACCCGTCTCGGGTGTCCATACTCAGTATCGTTTATCCGATCCCCATCCCCATCCCCACCCCCTTCGATACCCCCACCAAATTACCCCCCCAGTTGGGGATACACCCCTCGAAACTCGAAGGGAACGGCCTATGTCCCCATCTAAGAGGGTAAATCGGCCAGTGGGGCCCAGGCCACGCCGCTGGGATGGGGATCGGATAAACGATACTCACAGACGCTGGAGGCGCCCACAAGGGAAGGCGCGAGGGGCGGCGGCCCCTTGAGAAGCCAGGAGTGGCGGCTTCTGAGAGGATTTCTCAGAAGCCCCCCTGTGGCCTTCTGAGAAGGCGAGGGGGCTTCAAAAGCTAGGTAGGTTCGTTTGTCGGCCACGCGCAGAGGGGGGTAGGGGGAGGGGGGAAGGCTTCTTAGAAGCACACCTGCTTCTTGAAAGGCGCAAGCCTTCTCTGTAGATGGAAGGCCGGCGTCTTCTTCCCCCGCCCCTTGCCCCCCCTGTGCGCGCCGCCAACGTTTGCCTCTAGAGGAGGCCCCTGCCTCCGTCGAGGCATCGCCGGCTTCTTTGAGCAGGCTGCCCCCCCCCCCCCTCGCGCCGCCCCGCTTGCGGGCGCTGCCAGGGCCGGAGGGAGATCCCGGGACGGGACAAAAACACACAGACACAATTCATCGTCGATTTCAAGGAGGATACAGGCAGATGTGGGAAGTGGGGGGGGAAGACGAAAACCCAGAAACTAACGAAATATGAGATATCTTGGGATTAGTGTCTATGTGTTTGTGTGTCCCAGGGCCCCTTTTAAGATCGGCGGCAAGGGCGGGAGAAGGCGCACGAGTGCACGACGTCGCATGGGGTCTGGGCTCGAGCCAGGCGCTGTTTCGGCGATTTCGTGGGCCAGTTTCGTTTGGGTTTCGTTTTGCAGCAACGGCGGGACGCAGACGGGACGAGAGAAGACGAGAGCAAAGCGGAAACGGAAAACAGTGTTTAGTTCGCGCCTTGGTTCATGTACCTATCTTTCGTTGAAGGTCGGTGTTTTCGAAATCGCCAGGCTCCGGTCTAAGTCGGGTGCCTTCTTACTCTAAGAATCGAGTGTTTCTCCTCTTCCTTTCTCTTCAGTGGGACGAGCGGAAACACAGTCTGCGTTCAATTCGTTTTCCTGCATGTTTCTACCCGCTTCTTCCGAAAGATGGGTACGTGGCTGGGCGCGTACGTCCTCCTTGGCTCCTGGAACTGGGGAGAGCGCGAGCCAGAGGAAGGAAGGACCACCGCCACCGCCACCCACGGTGTGTGCACCTCTGGGCCTTTGCGCGGAGCATCGTATCCTCCCTTACCACTCCGGCCAGCAGATGTTGCACCCCTCGCAGGCATGGTCCATTTCGATCCGATCGACCCGACTCGAGATCTGCTCTTGCCACCCGAGGTCGGCCCGATCCGATTCGACTCCGATATTCGAAGGATTGCAAAAAACCCAGGATTGCAAAACAAAAACGAAGGATTGCAAACAAAAACCGAGATACGATTCTGCCCAGTGTTTGGACGGCGTTGTTGCGCATCCTGGCGCAGCCGTCTCGATTCGATTTCGACTCCGTGCCGATGCTTCCCGATCTGGCGCACATTCCAATCCGCTCCGATGTCCCGGCTCTGCGTCGAGTGATGTTGCCCGTGCGATGACGGTGAGTTTCCAGCTCTTTGATGGGGAAGTTCCTGTGGTCAGTGCGCATTGCAAGGATTCAGGAAGGAAAAAAACACACAGACATGATTGATCGTCAACACCCAGGAGAATACGGGAAAAGATGGGAAGTGGAAGGGAAGACGAAAACCCAGAAACTTTTGGAAAATACGGGGAATCCTGTTATCTGTGTGTATTTAGTTGTGCGTCCTTGGACCCATTCAAGGATGGGTAGTTCTTGCCAAAGGGTGCATTTGCAGCCCTGCCTCTTCGGCGCGTCGTCGGCCCACTACTCGGGTGTTGGCAGAAGGGCCCCTGGCTCAAGGTGCCCCCAGGATCTCCGAGGAGGCCCTCATGGCCTCCAGAGCACCCCTCACGAGGCCCAGAGGGCCCCCGGGGGCTCCAAAATTTAGCGAAAGGGGGCCCCAGGGGTACATTTAGTACTCCCCGATTTTGCCTGGCCGAACGCTGCCGAAAAGACCTCATCCCTCCCCATTCCCCTCCTCCGCCTCCTCCTCCTCCCTCCTCTCCATCCTCCTCCTCCTCCTCCTCCTTTTTCTCCTCCTCCTCCTCCCGCCTCCCTCCTCCCTCCTCCCTCCTCCCTCCCCACTCCTCCCTCCTCCCTCCCTCCTCCTCCTTCTCCTCCTCCTCCTCCTCCTCCTCTTCCTCCTTCTCCTCCTCCTTCTCCTCGTCCTTCTCCTGTTCTTTGCCCCCCGTCTCCCCAGCCTCCCCTAAAGCGTCCCAGGCAGTTCTAAGAGCACTCGGACGGCTAGCGCTCGCTGGGTTGCATTACTTTGTGGCCATCCCAGATTGAAGAGGGGACCATCTACTCAAGTAGTGCACTGCTAGTGTAGCTACCTTAAACGCGCACCAAGGTTTCGCTCGTTCCTCCTCCTCCGCCTCCTCCTCCTCCTTCTCCTCCTCCACCCCCACCCCCTCCTTCCCCTCCTCTGCCTTCCCTTCTGCTTCCCCTCCTGCCTAACCCCCTCCTCCGCCTTCGTTTATTCCTCGTCCGCCCGCCTTCTCCTGCCCCCCCTCCTGCCCCCCCCCTCCTGCCCCCCCCTTCCTGCCCCTTGTCCTGCTCCGCATCCTCCTCCTCCTCCTCCCCCTCCTCCTCCCCCTCCTCCTCCGCCTCCTCCTGCCTCCCTCCAGTTTCGCCCTCCTGTCCCCCTCCTCGCAGTCTGCCTCCTCCTGCTTGCATTCGCTCTTCCGCTCTTCCTCCTCCCTACCTCCTCCTGTTTTCGCTCATTATCCTCCTACGCCTCCTACTCAATATGAATACACTCTCCTCCATCCCCTGATGGTGTGCGGAAGTTAGCGGGTACCCCTCCGCGTATTGTTTTTTACACCGGATTTCCCGGAGTTGGGTTTTCGCTTGGTTTTTTTTTAATGCTGCTCTCGCTGAGGCGCCGGCCTCATTCTCGGGCTTCCGCTCGTTCCAAATCGTACTCCCGCTGCAGCGTGGGCCTCATTTTCGGATCGGTGTTTTGCCTCCGTCGTTCAGGATGGCGTTCTCGCCCCAGCGCGGGCCTCTTTCTCGCGCGCCCATCCGCCCGCCACCACCGCCCCGCGCCCAGCCCCGCCCACCGCCACTTCCACACCCACGCACACGCACGCACGCACGCACGCACGCACGCGCACCACCACCGCGCACCGCCACCACCACCCCACTATCCCACCCACCACCACCACGCTACACCGCGTCACACCACATCGCACGCGCGCGCACACAGCACGCACGCACGCACGCACGCACGCACGCACGCACGCACGCACACACACACGCACACACGCACAACACACACACACGCACACCACACACACACACACACGCACGCACGCACGCACGCACGCACGCACGCACGCAACGCACACACACACACCACCACCACCACCACCACCACACCAACAACAACAACAAGCAAACAACAAACAACCAAACAAACAAACAACACACGCACACACACACACACACCACCACCACCACCGCCACCACCACCACCGCCGTCACGCACGCACGCACCTGGCCCACCACCAAACCACCAAGACGCCACACCACGGCACACCACAGCACACACGCACACACGCACACACACACACACCACCACCACCACCACCACCACCAACACCACCACCACAACCACAACCACGCACACACGCACGCACGCACGCACGCGCACCACCACCGACTACGCACGCGCGCACGGAGCCACAGGTCCACTACGACACGCGTCCGCGGATAGAGCAAATCAGCGCCATGGTAAGGGATGGGAGGGAGGGGTAGGACGTCAGATATGACGCGAGCGCACATCGATTGCCCGCCTCCCCCTCTCTCTCGTGGCCGCCCCGCGTCTCCCAGGATTGACCTGGGGATGAGCGCGGCCCCCTCTCGTCGGCTGTGTTCTCATGCTCGTACTTCAGCTGGCAAAGTAGGCAACAGCCAGGCAATATCCGCCTTCTCCTCCTCCTGCGCCTGCGCCTCCTCCGCCTCCGCCTCCTCCTCGTCCTCCTCCTCCTCCTCTGCCCCCTCCTCCGTTTCCTGCTGCTCCCTGCGCCTCCGCCTCCTCCTCCTCCTGCGCCTCCACCTCCGCCTCCTCCCCCTCCTCCGTCCCCTGCTGCCCCCTCCTCCCCCCGAGACGAGAGGGGAGAGGGGGGCAAAAGGCGGCCGAGACGGCGGGCGCCCCGGCGACGGACGGCGCGGCGCCTGCGCCGGAGCGGCCTGGGAAGCAAGAGGCCCCCAGCTGGTAGCTGCCCTTTCTATATAAATATCTGTGTGTATATATATATATATATATATATATAGTTGTTTGTTCGCCGATCGGCGCGGGCCCCCGCCCCAGCGCGGTTTCGCTTCGCCAGGGTTTCGCTTCGCCGGGTTTTTCGCTTCGCGGGTTTTTTCGCTTCGCCCGGGGTTCGCTTCGCCAGGGTTCGCTTCGCCGGGTTTCGCTTCGTCCGTTTCGCTTAGCCGGGTTTCGTTTGCCCTCCCCCCCATAATAGACCAGATTTTGGCTGCTTTGGGCGACTGGTCAGGACCCCTCCCCTCCAGTGTGCCTGCGCGACTAGTAAAAGCAAATCGCCTAAGCCTGGGCCCAGACACAGACCACCCTTTCCCCCATCCTTCGGCTAAAAGTCGAAACCCAGAATAAGATAACGCCTACCTGCCGCTGTTTCTCCTCTTTGCTGGCCTCCTCCCCCCTCTTGCTCCCCCTCCCCTTTGCTGCCCTGCTCCTCTTCCTCCTCCTGCTCCCCCTCTCTTCTTCCTCCCCGTCCTCCTGCCCCTCCTCCCCATCCTCCCCTCCTGCTCCCCCTCCTCCTCCTTCCTTCTCCTCCCCCTCCTCCTCCTCCTCCCCCTCATCATTATCGTGTTACGAGGGGAGGCTCGAGGATGTTGGCGGGAAAATCGACTGGAGAACCCTCCTCCTCCTCGCCAACCTCCTTCCCCTCCCCCGCCTCCTTTTCGTGTTCCTCCTCCTCTTCTTCCTCCTTGGCCTTCTCCTCCTCCTCCTCCTCCTCCTCCTCCTCCTCGTCCTCGTCCTCGTCCTCGTCGTCCTCCTCCTCCTAGTCCTCTCCTTGTTGCGAGGGGGGGCTCGCGAGGATGTCGATGGGCTCTTGGGGGGATCTGGGGGGCTTTGGGGGGCTTCGTGGGATTCATTGGGGGCTCTTGGGGGCCACTCGGAGACCTCTTGGGGCCTCCCTCCTAAGGAACGCCCCCATATCCTCTGGGGGGCTCTCGGAGGCCTCTTGGGGGCCTCTGGGGGGCTCAGAGTGTCAGTTCGAAATCCCCCTCTTAGGGCCTTTTTGAAATTGTTTTGGGGGTCCCAAGGGCCGTCTTACGGCCCTCGTGGACCATCTTGGGGTTTGGGGGCCTCATGGGCCATCTTGGGACGATATTGGGTGGCCCATTGGGCCGTCTTGGACGCTGCAGCTATTAAAAAGGCGAACATGCCGAACATGCACGTGTTGCTTGGGGCTTTGTGGAGTCTCCTTGAAGCTCTTTTGGGGCGTCTTGGAAGCTTCTTGGACCGCCTGGGGGCTATCTAATTTGGGTTTTGAGGCCTCTCCGGCGTATTGGAGCCCAGCTTGAGCAAGCTTATATGGAACCCTTGGCATTTGGGAGGCTTCGGACTCTAGATTTGGAGGCTCCTGAAGCCCCGGTGATTCGTTGAGGAGCTCGTCCACCCACCCACCCGCCCCTGCCACCCCCCCCTGACCCCCCTCTAACGCGATTTGAAGGTCCAGGGAAGGGCACAGGGGGACGGGGAGAGCCACACGTCTGTGTACCCCCTGCAAGCGGGGGTCGGCGGATTGTGTGTTCTGGTCCTCGCGAGACATCTCCGCTTTCCCGAGCCTGGGAGAGTGGCACATTTTTTGTGCAATTCGTCTGACGGTTGTATTCAATGGGCCACCACGGTTGAAGAATATGTCGGGGGCCTATGAGGAGGGAAATTGGAGGGAGGACGTATTGCAACATCGTTGGTGCGTCGTGGGTTGACTCTGGTCCTCCCCCCCCCTCTCAGGGGTGGCCCGGGCCAGGCCTGTGCCCGAGCGGGAGTGCAAGAAGGAGCCCCCACCCTTCTTGCAGGGAGGACCCTCGAAAATGTTGGTTGGGGGATTGTTGTGACGGGGTTGGGGGCCGAAGAAGAAAATTATTCCGACAGTAGGACCCCACCTGCGAATCTAGTTAGATTGCCATTCGCTTTTCCCTCTTCGCCCTAGCCGAAGCCCCCCGTCTCGCCCTCTGGTGTGCCTCCTCCTCATCCTCCTTGTCTTCCTCGCCCTCCCTCTCCTCCTGCTCGCCCACCTTGTTCAATTTCTCCTCTTCGTCCTTCTACTCTTCCTCCTCCTCCACCTCCTCTTCCCCCCTCCCTTCATCTCCATCCCGCCTGTTCTCCTCATGCACCTCTCCTTCCTCGTGGCAGGGGGTGCGCATGCCGATTTCCTTGGCGCCCTCTCCCGCCGGGGCGCTTTCTCCGATGGCAAGATCGCGAAGCCGTCGGAGCAACGGCCGTTGGGACAACCCCGCGAGCCGCTTTGGCGCGAGAGCAAGCCGTTGGGGCAACCCCGCAGGCACCGAGTTAGCCACGGCCTTGCTCAGGCAGAAGGCAGCACGAAGTTCAACTCTGCCGCGAGCTGCTCCGCCTCAGTCCTGGAGCCCATATTCATTCCAGAGGAATCGAAAAGTGACGACAGATACACGGTCCCGATGACCCGCTCGGATTACCAACATGCAGCGCGGATCCCATGGGGAGGGGGCTCTCGCCTAACACCTCCTCACATTTCACTCACAGACGATGCTCCGGCCGGAGACTTCCTCCATGTTCAATCCAGAAGGGCCGAAAAGTGACGATAGGTTCAGGATTCCGATGACCCGCTCGGACTGCCAACGTGAAGTGCGGACCCCAGAGGGAGTGTCCCGCCCGAGATCTCTTCACACCATAGAGACGGGGCTACCGCCTGAGACTTCCTCACCAATTCACGCACAGACGAAGCTGCCGCCCGAGACTTCCTCCATCTTCAGGCCAGACGAGCCAGCTTGAGACTTTTTCGCGGCACATTCACCGACGAAGCTCCCGCTCGAGATTGTCGCGGCCTCCGGCCAGTGCCGCCGATCCGGGGTGCTACCGATTCTGGCTGCAACGGAGGATTTTGTTATGTTTTTAAAAAAGAGCATTCGCTCGAGACATCTTCATATGATAAAGATGTTGAACTCGCTTGGGCAAGCGTCGGATATTCGAAAGAGACGACCTCGCGTGAACAGCCAAACTCATGGGATGTCCCCTCCCGCCTTCCGGGACTGAATGGCGTCAGCCATGGCGTCAGCCCCCGCCCCCCCCCCCGGCTTCCCCCCGTCAGCTCCCCCCTCCCCCCCCCTTCCCCGCACTTCCTCCTCCCGGGCCTGAATGGCGTCCAGCCATGGCGTTCCCCCCCCCCCCCCGTCCCTGCCAGTGGCTTCCCCCCCCCCCCTGGGCCTGAATGGCGTCAGCTCCCCCCCCCACCTTCCCTCCCGGGCCTGAATGGCGCCAGCCCCCCCCCCGACACCCCCCCCCTTCCCCTCCTCATCCGAGCCTGAATGGCGTCAGCCCCCCCCCACCCCCATCCCCACCCCCCCCGGGCCTGAATGGCGTCCGCCCCCCCCCACCCGGCCCCCACCACAGAGCGAAGTTCCCCCACCTCCCCCCTCCCGGTCTGATGGCGTCACCCTCCCCTCCCTCCCCCCCTCTTCCTCCCCATGGCGTTCCCCCCCTCCCCCCCTCCTTCTTCCCTCCCGAGCCTGAATCAGAACACGACAAATTCACATGAACACAAAGGGTTTTATTAACTTACGCCGGAAGGGGGCGTCGTTGAGAGGGTGCCTGGCACGGATGCGGGGATCGGGGCGGCGTCGGTGTTTGGAGCTGGCGGTTTGCGCGGCAAGTGCGTTTAGCTTGTCGCATGTGTTCGGAACGCGTGACGGGTGGAAAGGCCGCTCACCAGCAACTGGCAGTCCTTTGCCCGCGGGCCAGAACAAATCGTCGCGCGCTCGCAACGGGGTGTGGGAAAAGGGGGTTGGAAAGAGAACGCGAGTCTCATTCCCAGGAAGTCCCTTCGATACGCAGCAAACAGCTCTTTTAATTTTTCTGCCGCACGGCCAATCGAACGAACGAATAATTGTCTCGGCGCGCAGTGTTTACATAGCTTGCGCGCATCCTGGCTTCCTTCCGTTGCTTCCTTCGTTTCTTTGTCGCCCTCCTATTATTTTTCATATTCCCCTGCTTTGCCTTTTCCCGCCACCCTTCCTTTTCAGCTCGGAGCTGTCACCGCGCGCGAAGAGCGCAACCCAAAGGGCGTTGCTGTAATTCTTTTGTGTGCCACGAAATTTCGTGTAATTCCTTTTGCGTGCGGTCTGGCTACACTGCCAACGCGGGGGGCGCACAAAGAATTTTCCTTTCTGTACGGTCGTTTTCGCCGCCCCCACAAGAGCACGTGCGATTCCTTTGTGTAGAGCTTGCTTTCCCACCTCGCGAAGAGCGCGTGGGGCTTGGCGCTACAATCACAAGGCCGCGGCGCCTGGCAGTGCGATGCAGCTGTGCCGGATACCGCGCCCAAAACGATCCTACGTGGATCCCGGCTCTTCTGCCGAAGTCGCGCTGGCAGCTGGCCAGCCACATCACCTGCACTGCATGCCCGCGCGCGCTACTGTGTTCTGCTGCCGCGACGCGTGCTGTTGTCAACGGGTGAACAAACTGACGTTGCACGGCGGTTTGGCTGTGCCGTACCACCATGGGATGTTTGTTGGTAGCGGATCTTGGGACTTCGTTTTCGCCGACAACCTTGCCACACCATGCATGTCAACTGCATCCTAGAGTCTAGAGCTCGGCCGTGCATCAGCCCTGGTTCGGATCGCTGGGGAGCCAGTGGCATGTGTGCACATGCGTTGCACCGCTGGTGGTGCCAAAACCCTTTTTGTGAAATGCCTTTTGTGTGTTTTTAAATTCGGGCTCCTACTGAGTGGCGTGGCGCCAACCCCCCCCCCTCTTCCTCCCGGGCCTGAATTGCGCCAGCCCCCCCCCCCGCCACGACAAAACGAAACCCCCCCGCCCTCCCTCCCGGGCCTGAACGGCGTCAGTCCCCCCCCTTCTCTCATCCCCCCCATCTCACCCCGCTTTCTTCTTCCATGTTCCTTCTTGTGTTTCCACTCACCCGCCGTAGTAATAGTAGTAGTGCTAGTAGTAGTACTAGTAGTACTAGTAGTA